CGTCCCCACCTCAGCCTGCGTGCGCAGGATCGGAGGCTGCTGCTAGAAGTCTTGAGAAGCAATACCCCGAAACCCTAACCCTAAACCCTAAACCCTAAACCCTAAACCCTAGACCCTACACCCTAAACCCTAAACCCTAAACCCTAACCCCTAAACCCTAAACCCTAAACCCTAAACCCTAAACCCCTAAACCCCTAAACCCCTAAACCCCTAAACCCCTAAACCCCTAAACCCCTAAACCCCTAAACCCCTAAACCCTAAACCCTAAACCCTAAACCCTAAACTCTAAACCCAAACCCTGCGCCACAAGTAGAACCAAGCTGTGGAACGTGCCATGAGCCGCCCACCAACACCAAGGTCCGAGTGCTTTGGGGGATTCATTTTTTTCAGGGTTTAGGGTTCAGGGTCGAGGGTTTGGGGATTTAGGGTTTAGGGTTTAAGCTTTAGCGTTCAGGGTTTAGAGTAGGGCTTGGAAGAGTTCAGGGGCTTGGGGGCTTGAGGGCTCAAGGGTTTACGTTCAAGGGTTCCGGAGGTCTCGGGTTTAGGAAACCCTAAACCCTAAGCCCTAAGCCCTAAGCCCTAAACCCTAAACCCTAAACCCTAAACCCCTAAGCCCTAAACCAAGGCTTGGGCGCATCATCAACATCATCGGTGAGCCCATCGATGAGCTGGGCCCCATTGACACCAAGAAGCCAGCCACTCAGAACGTCTCACTGGGGTTTAGGGTTTAGGGTTTGGGGTTTAGGGTAGGGTTTAGGGTTTAGGGTTTAAGTTGGGTTTAGGGTTTAGGGAAGGCTTAGAGCTTTTCGGGCTTTAGGGTCTTCGGGGTTTGGAAGTTTAATAATTTGGGCCTTCAGAGATTTAGGGCTTCTGTTTACACATGCCCTCAAAACCCTATGAAGTAAGCTCCTCAACTGAAGGCCATTAGGGATGCGCCTGGCTTCTTGATGACAATCCCCTTACTAAACATTTAACTTTACATGTACAATCCCCCCCCCCCCACCCGTCCCTCCCCAAAGGAAATGTTGAACACGTTCTGAAGCATCCCAACCCTCAAAAAAGGGCCCAAGTGGTGCGTACAGTATCCCATTTTGATCAGAGCCACCAAAACCACCAACCCTAAGCCCTAAACCCGAAACCCCAGGCCCCCCTCCACTCCCCGGGCCCCCCCCCCCCCCCCCCCCCCCCCCCCCCCCCTCCCTGCGAGGTTCTATGCCATCCATCGCCCAACTCCCACGTTCACGGAGATGAACACCTCGGCGCAGCAGCTGCTGACGGGCATCAAGGCACCGGGATGGCAAACCTCAAATGAGGGCTTACGAAATCAGGGGGCCCCCAATATGGTCACCCAAATAGTAGGATCCCCTCATAACAAGGACCCCAAGAATATCGTAAACCCCCAAATCCACCCCCGGTATCATCTGAGAGTGCAGCAAGCACTGCAGGGGGCCAGTGCAGATTGACCATAAGATGGGCGTGATCAGGTTTCCAGGCCCGTAGGACTCAGTATCTGAGTGAGCACACTTTGCACTTTTTGGGGATTCTATAATCCCTATAGAGCTCAAAGTGTACACTTTTTGGGGCTTATGAACTCAGCAACTAAGAGGATCAGAGAAGGCGTTCATGCCATGCGACCCAGCCAGCACCCGGACAGTCCACAGCATCTACTTCCTTCACTAGGTCGGCTTTTGAGATATCGTAGATTTTCCTTACTTGGGTTTATGAGGGATCCTTTATACCAAGATCATTCAATGGGTGTAATTACAGGATCCTTTATACCAAGATCATTCAATGGGTGTAAAGGCCACCCCAGCTCATCTCGAAGCCCCCGGCGGCCTCCCCCTGCCACAACTGGGGCCAACATCAAGCCTCGCTCACCTCCAAGGCCTGAGGCGGATGACGAGAGGTCTCTTAGGGTTTAGGGTTTAGGGTTTAGGGTTTAGGGTTTAGGGTTTAGAGGCTCATTGAGAAGTAGACCTCTCCCGCCCCGCCCCCAACTGCCGCTGTGGCTCTTCAGGAGCCCAGTTCTAGGACTACTGTATCATCCCCTTCAACGGCCCAGCTGTTTCAAGAAGGCCCTCAGATAATCCTGAGCGTTTCCAGCGGGTTCCAGCGGGTCCAGGTATGACATTTCAGGAGGTCGTACAGAGTGACAAGCCTGCAAGCCCCACACCCTAAACCCTAAACCCTATACCCTAAACCCTAAACCCGAAACCCTAAACCCTAAACCCTAAACCCTAAACCCCAACCTCTTAAGCCCTGAGTGCGAAAAGCCCTCGCAGGTGGTGGACCTGCTGGCACCCTATGCCAAGGCTCGCCATGGAAGGGGAGGGGGGGCCGAGGGCTTCTGTAGCCCCAAAAGTGTGAAGCGTGAACCCCAAACCCAAGATCACAGGGGCATGGGTTTAGGGTTCAGGGTTCAGGGTTCAGGGTTTAGGGTTTAGGGTTTACGGTTCAGATTTGGGGATGGGCAATTGCATCCCCGTGGAGGGTTTGCACCTCGTGCTCGGGATTCGACATCTTCGACGCCAGGTTTGTTGGGGTACTGATTTCGGGCTTGGGGCTGCGAAGCCCTGCCACTTCTGCGTCAAAAAGTCCCGAGTCGGCGCTAACCCTTGAAAGTTTAGAGCCCTTATGCTAAGCCCTCTGCCTGCGAGCCCTCGCCGCCAAGCTCTTAGGCTTTATAGGGCTCAGGGGCCCAGGGTGTCCTTCAACACCCTAAGCCTTGAGCGAAAGATTCAGTCCGCAAACACGCTGAACCCTGAACCCTACTCTAAACCCTAAACCCCAAACCCAAGCCCCTGAACCCTGAACCCTAAACCCTAAACCCTGAACCCTACACCCAAAAACCCGAAACCCTAAAGCGAGGGCGGCAAGATCGGCCTCTTCGGCGGTGCAGGTGTCGGCAAGACGGCCCGCAAGCTCGGTGGACGGGATGTAGGCTGTCGTGATGTGGGGGAATCAAGTTCTGGGTTTAGGGTTTGGGATTTCGGGTTTAGCGGTTAGCGTTTAAATAGCACTTAGGGGTTTATTTCCTTATGGTCTATTCGAGTAGATTCTGTTAGAAGATCGCATCCATTTGGATCAATCCCGTTTGGGATTGGCGAAGACAGATCATGGGGACGTGAAGGAATGCTCAGTTGCACCGGACTCCGGTCTTTTGCTGCCGTGTTTTCTGGCCTGCGCTTTGAGTGGGGTTTCTTGGTAGCCCAAGTGGTACCCCTTTCCCTCCTTTTGGTTCCACTTTCCCTTATAAAGTACCCAACCCTAAAAAGGGTGCCCTTGTTCTAGTCTGGTTACTGGGCTACCAAGTAATGGATGTGGACTTGAGTTTTTTTTGAATGACCGACCAGCGTCGTTTGCTGAGGTGGTGATCATGGAACTGATCCACAACATCGCCTTGTGCTCAGAGCTCCCTAAACCCTAAACCCTAAACCCCAAACCCTAAACCCGAAACCCTAAACCCTAAACCCTAGCCCAAATGGTAGAAAGGGGCCTGCGATGGCGCAACCAGACTTTGAGCTGGGCTGCCTTGGGCCGTTGTCGCACGCTTGTTCGTGCTTAGCACACTGCCAGCAGTATCCAGAAGCCCATTTGCGAGGGACTAGGGTTGAGCTCTGCTGGACCAAGCCTGAGAAGTCAGGCCATTGATGCTTCAGGGCTTTTTTCCGGCTTGAGAAAGCTTTGTAAACCTCAGCGTACCGAACCCTAACATAAAGCTTGTGGCGGCGACTTCGGCTTGGGGGTTGCTCTCGGGTCGGTTCCCAGGCTCTCAAGCACGGTGGTTACAGCGTCTTCGCGGGCGTAGGCCCACGATTCTTCGAGGAACAGTTTGGTCATTTCTCTAAATAATGGTCCCGGTTGGGGTACCCGAAATACTTGGTGGCTCTGTGTTTGAGCTCGTCAGGGTTTTTGGGTGTTTGTGTTGACAATGTAGTACAGTTGTGTGCTCGAAGGCTAATGGTAGGCCCTTGGGACATTTTATATTTTCCCTTATTGGGTTATTCAGGATCCTATTCAGGAATATTTTCGGAGGGTTTTTAACGGCCATCTTAGTGAAGCTTCAGAGCAGGAAGTGTTCTGAAGTCAGGGGTTTTCTGCACCGACTCCCACATCGACATACCGCTAAGGGGCCTTCTTGGTTAGAATAGCGTTTTTTGGGGGTATTAAGTATAATTATGTGTAGGGGCATAAGGGAATACTTCTGGTTCTTATTCCGACCCCTTTCGTATCCCTCCCCTCAGCTTCTGCATTCAATGGTAGACATGCCACCAAAACCCTTCCCGGCTGCTTTCTGGTGAACCGCGGCCTGAAGATCGCAACTTGTGTCACGGATGTAGGCTTCTTTTATGGGGTTTCCCCAAAATACCCCAAAGCGGGGCAAACCTTCTTGGGTTCCTATAGCAAGGATTCTCGAATGTGTGGGGGTATATTAGGGTTTAGGGGGTTCAGGGTTGGGGGTTTAGGGGGTTTAGGGGGTTTAGGGTTTAGGGTTGAGGGTTTAGGGTTTAGGGGGTACCTCAACTTGGCTTCCTGGGGCAGGCGAGCGCACGCGCGAGGGCAACGACCTGTACCATGAGATGATGGCCAGCGGAGCGCCTTGGCCCTCTGCAACGTTGCATGGGTTTCCCTACTACCCCCCCCCCCTCTTTAGGGTTTAGGGTTTAGGGTTTAGGGCTACCCCCTTAGGTTCCCGCTTAAATAGCCTTAATTTGCCTTAATTATCCCAAGATGGCCTTAAACGTGAGGGTTTGCTTCTATCGTCCAATGGTATTTTTGCTTTAGCAACAGCCAAGAGTTATATCAACAGAGAACCCGAAACCCTAAACCCTGAACCCTAAACTCCCTCAAACCCCGAAGGCCAAGGGATGTTGGCTGGAGCACCTGGCCTGCTGCAAGATGGTCTTCAGTTTCAAGCTGTACCCCTGCACCTTCTTTTCTTTCAAGCCTTCCGGGTGTTCTAAAGGCACTCTTGACTCTTGACACTTGTCAACTCTGCCTATCCGAAACTCCAGACTCAGTCAATCTAACTTTTCGTTTCTTCTGGGCCCCTGGTGTGCCCCGAATATATATGCGGCCGGCAAAGCATGATATAGGAGTTTAGGGTTTGGGGTTTAGGGTTTAGGGTTTGGGGTTTAGGGTTTAGGGTTTAGGGGAGAGCTGGCCAGACAACAACTGGATAGCTACGAGCTCAAACCTCTTGCCCTGCGCCTGAAGCCCTCAAGCCGCTACTCCGGAAGTTGCTAGGGTTTAGGGTTTAGGGTTTAGGGTTTGGGTTTAGGGTTTAGGGTTTAGGGTTTAGGGTTTAGGGTTTAGGGTTTAGGGTTTAGGGTTTAGGGTTTAGGGTTTAGGGTTTAGGGTTTAGAGGTAAAACATTTCAAGTAGCATTAAGGTTCTGTGTGGTCAGTTCGTTCTCCAATGTCTAATGCAGGGATCTTTCTTCGGTCCTTGTTATCGCAAAGTACCACCCTTACAACTGAAAGCCCCCGCAGAAGAAGCCTACAAGCCTCAAGCCCTCAGAACCTCAAAGTCTCAAAGTCCTCAAAAGTGGAAACCCTAAGCCCTAAACCCTAAGCCCTAAACCCTAAGCCCTAAGCCCTAAGCCCTAAGCCCTAAGCCCTAAACCCTAAACCCTAAGCCCTAAGCCCTAAGCCCTAAGCCCTAAGCCCTAAGCCCTAAACCCTAAACCCCAAACTCCGACTCCGTAGCTCAACAGAGCCCCCCCTGTCCGAGGTGATCAAGAAGGACAAGGCCCCTGGATCCAAGGCGCACCGTGGCACGGGGTTCGGGGTTTAGGGTTTAGGGTTTAGGGTTTAGGGTTTAGGGTACAGTAGCAAGAATTGGGCTTTCGGGCTTTGGGGGCTCGTGCTAGCCTTAGGTACACGCCGTTGTAGCTACAAATACCCACCCTACGCACTGAAACCCTGAATCTGAACAGCCCCCATGTAGAACTGCCTTTAGGAATTTAGGGGTTTAGGGTTTTAGGGGTTTAGGGTCTTAAGGGTTTAGGGTTTCAGGGTTGAGGCTTCGGCTTTGCTGGCTTTCTTTTATATACTTTCCATGGTTTACAGCTTGCGTGAGCTCAAACACGTATGCAACTTGCAACGTTTGGGGCTTAATTACGGTTTTATCCTAAGCCTTAGGCCGGCCCTAAACCCTACACCCTACACCCTAAACCCTACACCCTACACCCTAAACCCGAAACCCTAAACCCTAAACCTGAACCCTGAACCTTAAAACCCTACCCCAGGCCGCGCTCGTGTACGGCCAGATGAACGAGCCTCCTGGAGCGCGCGCCCGCGTGCTTCGCCTCGGACGTTGGGCATCAGGTGTTCGGCTCTATAGGATCCTGTAGGGTTTGGGGGAATAGGGTTAAGGGTTTAGGGTTAAGGGTTTAGGGTTTAGGGTGTAGGCATACTTGGAAGTGCACAGTTCATGGGTAGTTACAAGTAGGGTTATAGGTACCCTAAATAAGGGCTTATTATGGTTTAGGGATACTTGGAAGTTCATGGGTAGTTATAAGTAGAGTTATATGTACGTATAGTTATCCTACTCATAGCCCCATGTAAAATATTCCCATAACCTCCAAGCAAGCCGTAGTTGCATTCTATGGATCTTTGCTGCCTAAGGCTCGGCTGGGCTTTTGGGTTTTAGTGAGAAGCCCTAAACCGCAAAAAACCCAAGTAAGTGACTCGGTCGATCTCTCTACGATTCTTGGCGTCCTGATTCCTGATCCCGAAGCTCGATATGGGCTTGAGGTCGGGTTTTTAGAGTTGAGGGTTTAGCGGTTTAGCGTTTGGGGTGTAGGGTGAGGGTTGAAGCTTGGCTTGTGCATGGGGCAGCTGCGGCAATCCTTTTCTCTCAAATCAGGTCGCCCTGACCGGCCTGACCGTGGCGGAGTATTTCCGAGATGAGGAGGGACAGGACGCAAGCTCAAACCCTGCATTTTGAGCAGAGGGAGGAGGCATGTGGGGGTTTCTTCTTTTGGGGCTGAAGAACAGCGCTCTGAACCTCAAATTCGGGCGAGTGTGACAACTGAGGGCCCCCCTGATAGGCAGTTGCCTTTATCCCAAGTGCTTCGGGGCTCAGATATGAGGAGCGGGTTCGGCACAAACCCCAAACCCTAAACCCTAAACCCTAAACCCCAAGCCCCAAGCCCCAAACCCTAAACGCTAAACCCTAAACACTAAACCCTAAACCCTGAACCCTAGACCCTAAACCCTAAACCCTAAACCCTAACCAGGTGCAAGCCTAAAGGGTTCGGGGCTCAATCCTTCGAGGGCCCTCGGATGCCTTGGTCCAGAAGTAGCTCTTCACCTCGTCACTCTTGAGAGCTTCCAGACTAGGTTTTAGGGTTCAGGGTTAGGGTTTAGGGTTTAGGGTTTAGGGTTTAGGGTTTAGGGTTTAGGGTTTAGGGTTTAGGGTTTAGGGTTTAGGGTTTAGGGTTTAGGGTTTAGGGTTTAATTAGAGTTTAGGGTTTAGGGTTTAGGGTTTAGGGTTTAGGGTTTAGGGTTTAGGGTTTAGGGTTTAGGGTTTAGGGTTTAGGGCGCTCTTGAAAGAATGCTATAGGGTCGGAATAAGTGCTAATAGGATTCCCTTAGGGTCCCTTTAAAACTATACTACTCTAACCTTAAAGTATTCAGGCCCCTATATTAGCTGTTGTTGTTTGTTCTTAGTGCATATCGGACCATGCAAGTTATGACCTCTAGAGACGTTTCTGAGAGCAGTTGGTGGATTGGGGTAAGCATTAGGAACGAGGAGCACCGGAATCATGCAGTCCTGGGATCAAGTCGTCAGGTATTCAGAGTGTGGGGTTCCCGGTCAGTATCGGGTCTAGGACAGTCTTTGCGTAACGAAACCCTGAAACCTAACTTCAAACCATGTTTAGTGTTTAGTGTGCAGGGTCATCCGTCATCCCCACACAGTTTAGCAATCCAGGCCCTGTTTGTACGGGCCGTAGTAGGCGCTGACCAGCACAACCTCGGCCCTGAACCCCGCCCCCCACCCTCCCCCCAGATACTCAGCCCTGCAAAAACCACAAACCCTCAAGTACCCTCAAGTAAGCCCCGAACTCCATAAACTTGATAGTAAGCCCTACGGCCAAATCGCCCCTAAACCCCAAAGCCCCAAAACCCCCCCCCCCCCCCCCCAAAAGACTCAAAAGACCCCCCCCCCCCCCCCCCCCCCCCAAAAGACTCAAAAGAGTCAAGGACGTGCTGCTCTTCGTGGACAACATCTTCCGCTTCACCCAAGCCGGATCCGAGGCAGGCCGCCCTCTGAAATGGGTTTGGGGTTTAGGGTGTAGGGTTTAGGGTGTAGTTTTCAGGGTTTGGGGTTTAATTAGGGTTTCGGGTTCAGGGTTTAGGGTACTACTGTTACTGTTCCTGCTCCTGCTCCTGTTCCGTACCATGATGATCATGATTGTGGACGTGGGTGTGTGCTCGTTCAGATGTACGGTCTGGGTTGTTGTTCGGGAACTTAACTTAAGATACGGAAGCCGTATCTTCGTTCAAATTGTCATCCTGTGGCAACTTCCAGCTCCACCCTAAACCCGAAGCCGTAAGTAAGCCCTAAACCCTAAACCCCCAAACCCCTCAACCCCTAAACCCGAAACCCTAAACCCCTAAACCCTAAACCCCAATCTCCTAAACCCTAAACCCGAAACATCCCCCAGGTGTCGGCCCTCCTTGGACGTATCCCTAGCGCGGTCGGCTACCAGCCGACTCTGGCAACGGACTTGGCCTCTCTGCAGGAGAGAGGTTTCTAGGGTTTAGGGTTTAGGGGGCTAGGGTTTTGGGTTAGGGGTTCAGGTTTAAGTTTGGGGGTTTAGGGGTTTGGGTTTACTTAAGGTTATGGGTTTTGGGGTTTTTGGATTGTCCTGAAAAAACTATTCCAAGATATGGGCCCTTAACCTGTGTGTGGGGCGGGGGGAGGGGGGGGGGGTGGATTCTCAGGGCTGTAAGCCCCAAAACCCCAAACCCAAAAGGGTGTGACTGCTTGATCGAAGCTGAGGGGTTTCGTTGTCGTTAAGATTGCCGAGGCTCGTAGGTTTAGGGTTCAGGGTTTAGGGTTTGGGGTTTAGGGTTTGGGGTTTAGGCAGCTTTCTGGTTTGGGGTCTAGGCCTCGTGCGTTGAACTTTGAAGGCTGGATGCATCATGGCCAAAGCGCCTAGCTAGCGTGTGAGCACTACCGTTTTTGGACATGCACGCGCAGAGTTTAGGGCTTGTTTAGGGTTTAGGGTTTGGGGTTTAGGGTTTAGGGTTTAGGGCTTAGGGTTTAGGGTTTACAGTGTAGGGTTTGGGTCCTAAACCCTAAGCCCTAAGTGTCGCCGAGCAGGAGCGGATTACCACCACGCGGAAGGGCTCCATCACGTCTGTGCAGGCCACCCGGCCTTCAATTCCCAAAAGAGGGGTCCCCCTCATCCCAAAATGGTATAATCTTGCTTATAGGACCCCCAAAAAGGGCACAACCCTATAGGTTACCCTCCCCCCCCCCCCCCCCCCCCCCCAAAAACCCTGAACCTTAAACCCTCGTATAGCCCTACGTCATAAGTAACCATGAAAACCTTCATGCAAGGCGATCTGGCATCCGGAGTTAATTATAGGGGTCGGAATAATTACTAATATTATTCCTTTATAGTCCCTTTATAGTTCTTCTATAATTATCCCCAAAAGCCTCTTCCCGATAGTGCAAAGCTTACTTGGGCCGTTATAAGTGGGGTTGTGAGTAGGGTAACTACAATTGCAGCCGATTTGCAGCCCTACCCACATGAACCTCCCAGTCGGGCTCGCGAGTTCATCAGGCCGTGTACGTGCCAGCGGATGACCTTACCGACCCAGCGCCGGCCACGACCTTCGCCCACTTGGATGCCACGACGGTGTTGTCGCGGCAGATTGCCGAGTTGGGCATCTACCCCGCAGTGGATCCTCTGGACTCAACCTCCCGTATCTTGGCCGTTCTCGTTGAGTTTGTGCACGGAAGTTTTTTGTGAAGACTCGTGCCTTCGTTTCCAGATGCTCCAGTACATCAGCCAAGGTATGTTGGACCCATCCATCGTGGGCCAGCGCCACTACGACATCGCACGAAGCACGCAGAAGATCCTCCAAGACTATAAGTCCCTCCAGGACTGGAATTTTGGGGCTGTAGAGGGTCCTCCAAATCTATCCGGAGACGGAGGTTGCAACTCCTGGCACCACTCGAAATCTCAAATAAGCCTGCAGCCCTCAACGCAGTCAGCAAGACTTGCAGCAAAGCTGCAGTGTCCTCAACGCCGACTGACAATGAAACCGCAAAGCTAAACCTCAAAAGGTGGGGTTTGGGATTTAGGGTTCAGGGCTTAGGGAGTTTAGGGTTTATGGTGTGGGGTTTAGGGTTTTTGGGGGGTCTCGCGCAATCAACCCACAGCCTGTTTCCTCAGGACATCATTGCCATCCTTGGTATGGACGAGCTTAGCGAGGAAGACAAGCTCACGGTCGCGCGAGCCCGCAAGGCCCCATCCGCTCATGGACCGTTCTTTGTGGCCTCCGGTTTCGTTGTGAAAGCCCTAAAAACAAATTACTCAACCTGAACCCTGCACAAAGCTATCCCAATCTCCTGAGCCTTCGCACTGCGCAGAAGTCGTAGGGCTTGGGCTTTGGAGCACCATAGATCATGAAGGCCTGTATTCTGTCCCCTGCTTGTACGCACCTCAACTACGCCCAATAATGACTCGCTTTGAATTCTTTAACTCCGAATCCCCTGTAGACCCCGGTTCCAACTATCACCACTAGTTCACCTCCACGGCCATGAAGCAAGAGGTGCAGCGCTTCCTCTCGCAGCCCTTCTTTGTGGCCGAGATCTTCACTGGCACTCCGGGGGCCTTCGTGGACTTGGAGACCACGTCCGGGGGCCTTGAAAATGGGGTTGCGGGTTGTGGGTTTTGGGGGTTAGGGTTTAGGGTTTAGGGTTTAGGGTTGAGGAATGTCCCACGTTGTTCTTACGGGCCTTGGGTGGTTGGGTGCCTGATTTCCCCGCAGGGGGGGCTTCCCCAAACCCTGATACCGTTACTGATACCCTAAATTTCCGATACATCCCTAAACTTGAACCCTCAATATCTGTAGCCATTCGAAAGCGCTCAACCCTAAAGTTTAGCTGAAGCCCTCAACCCTAAACCCCTAAACCCTAAACCCTAAACCCGGATGCTCGGCATTCGGAAAGGGCCTTTGGGGCTTCTGAGGCCCTTGAGGTTGAGCTTCTGTCTGAGCGACATAGGGTTTAGGGTTTAGGGTTTAGGGTTTGGGGTTTGGGGTTTAGGGTTTATAGGGCTTCGAAGGTTTAGGGTTTAGGGTTGTTTAGGGTTGGTTTCGGGTGCCCCCTTTTTTGCGGGCGCGGGGGGGATTCCTTCACGGTACCTGGGCCCGAAACCCCACAGCCTGAAACCCACCACCAATTCATGGTTTCGGGTTTAGGGTTTAGGGTGTTTCCTTACTACCCCCCCTCAATACTACCCCTCCTAGGTTCCCCCCCTTCAATATCCTTGCTTAATTATCCTTAAAAGCCTGAATTATGGGGACCTAGGTAGTAGGCGGGTAATAGACAGGGGGTAGTAGTGGAACCCATGCAAGAAATCGCACTATAAGCCCTGAATCTTCCAAATGGGTTCGGGGTTTACAGTGTTCAGCAAGCCGGCGCCCTAAACCCCCTGAAGCACTGAACTCCCCTAAAGTCCCAAAAGTCCGGACGTAAACCCTAAACCCTATGACCCTACTTGGAGGTTCAGGGGTAGTGAAAGGGTTACAAGTAGGGTAGCTATTTTCACAGCTGCTTATGACCTTAGTTAGTAGCTACCCAGGAACCTTCAAGCAGCCCTAAACCCTAAACCCTAAACCCTAACCCTAAACCCTAAACCCTAAACCCTAAACCCTAAACCCTAAAACCCTAAAACCCCTAAACCCCTAAACCCCTAAACCCCTAAACCCCTAAACCCCTAAACCCCTAAACCCCTAAACCCCTAAACCCCTAAACCCCTAAACCCCTATACCCCTAAACCCCTAAACCCCTAAACCCCTAAACCCCTAAACCCCTAAACCCCTAAACCCCTAAACCCCTAAACCCCTAAACCCCTAAACCCCTAAACCCCTAAACCCCTAAACCCCTAAACCCCTAAACCCCTAAACCCGATACCCTACTTATGCCCATCGTAACTCCTCCCACTTCCAGGATCAACGACTTCGAAGAAGTTTTGTCCGGAAACTGCGACGACATCCCCGAGGAGTGCTGGGTGATGGGCTTTGGGGGTTTCCGAAAATAAGGGACCCCCATAAACCCTCCAAACCCTTTCAACCCAACAAACCCGAAATGCGGGGTTTGGGTTCGGTTCCTTGAAAGGCCAAGGCTTCGTATGAGGGCCGTCGGAAGGAGGTGCTAGCTTCCGATCAGGTCCGCAGACCTTGGAGCCGCACAGCTCGAGGGTGTAGGGCCTACGCGCTACAGACTTTGGGGGCACGACCCGAGACCCTAACGACCCTAAAACCCTAAACCCTGAACCTTAACCCTGAACCCTCAACCCTAGTTTATCAAGAAGAACTTGCCTTACTCCAGGCGGCCTTCTACATGATCGGTGGAATGTCCGATGTCCGAGAGAAGGCCAATGTCTTGGCTCCTTGCTGTGCGGGTCTTGCCGTATGATGATGGGCTAGGGTTTAGGGTCTGGGTTTAGGGTTTAATGTCTAGGGTCTACAAGAATAGAGCTCAAATACCACCCGTCCCCTTCGAGCCTCACCAGGAGGAGGGGGCAAGGGGCGGGCGGGGAGGTGGAGGTGGTGCGTTCACTTCGCGGACGAGCAATACTGTGCGGTCCGGTTGGATGCGGTAACGGTTCGGTGCGGTACGGGAAAATGTGTTGTTGAAATGCCCGTGATAAAGCCTGCATAGTTTCATATGCAGGGCCAGAGAGCTGGCAGATGAAAGGCATGTAGTCGGAGGAGCCTTTCGGGTACTGGCAGGTGCTGGGCTCTGCTGAACCTGTGCAAAGATATTCCGCACGGCCAGAGCAAGCAATCAAGATATTCATGCCTGCAGGAGTGGGAACTCCCGTAGACCCAGCGACACCGCACCGGTTCACGCAGTGATCATCTAAGCGTACTTACATGGCCCCATACTAATTTAGGATGGGGCCCTTAAATTGAGAAACCCTAAACCCTAAACCCTAAACCATATACCCCTTCGATATACCCTAAACAACCCAAGGGCCTACATTTTACTAGGTAGGCCCTTGGGACATTTTATGTTTGCCCTTATTGGGTTTAACAGGAGCATCTTCAGGAACCTTTTTGAAGTTGGCCCGCATAGCTAACCTTGGGACCCAATACCCCCTCCCCCCCCCCCCACCCCCCACCCCGCCCCACCACCCCCATCCCGCCCCACCCACCCCCCCACCCACACCCCCCCCCCCCCCACACCTTCCCCCGCCACTCCACCCCACACTGAACTTATCTCACTTTCCCCCTAGGAGTAGTAGTAGTAGTAGTAGTAGTAGTAGTAGTAGTAGTAGTAGTAGTAGTAGTAGTAGTAGTAGTAGTAGTAGTAGTAGTAGTAGTAGTAGTAGTAGTAGTAGTAGTAGTAGTAGTAGTAGTATAGTCGTAGTAGTAGTAGTAGTAGTAGTAGTAGTAGTAGTAGTAGTAGCAGTAGCAGCAGTAGCAGCAGTAGCAGTAGCAGTAGCAGTAGCAGTAGCAGTAGCAGTAGTAGTAGTAGTAGTAGTAGTAGTAGTAGTAGTAGTAGTAGTAGTAGTAGTAGTAGTAGTAGTAGTAGTAGTAGTAGTAGTAGTAGTAGTAGTAGTAGTAGTAGTAGTAGTAGTAGTAGTAGTAGTAGTAAGATGAATGCTGACACGCCGTCAGTGAAGAAACATCTTGCAAACATTCATGAGCTAAACGATATAGTATCTGAACGACAACGACGGTGCCTGCTTTCCAGGCGGCGAAGCTGGCTGCTGTGGCTGCTGGAAAGTGAGCGCATTCCCGGGCTCCAAGATCGTACGTGGGATGGAGGATTGAGGTTTTGAGGTTGAGGGTGTAAGGGATTATTGCTGGGTTCTAGCTTTGATGAATGAGGGGAGGCTGGTCCTGCCCTAAACCCTAAACCTGACTGCTAGGGTCAAGACTTCAGGGGCCTTGAAGACCCGTACCTAGGTAGGCCCTTGGAATATCCTCTAGTGCCCCCAAACTGCGCAGCCCTTTGGAATACTTCATCTATTTCCCAGATTGGGTTTTCAGTGGGTTCAGAAGCTAAGAAGTAGGCCAACGTAGGAAGGGCTCAAAGGACGTCGGGTCAGTGTCGGGCACGTTGCGAGCTACACCCCGTCTGGAGCCTTCGAAGGATAGTTTCTGAGGAGCGATGGTACGTGAGGCAGTTTTGGATGTGCCCTGACTGGGAGGCCTGGTCAGAGAGCCCAATACTCAGGAATATACCTTAAATCATATCAAGGATCCCTATATGACTTATAAGGTATATTCCTTATTTAAGAGGTATTAGGCTCTTTGGGTGGTCAGATGTAGAAAGGCAGCCTTGCAATCATGTCGACTCGTCAGGGGAGCAGGACACGCCAGAACGCTGTGGCGCATAGCCAGATAGCATCTTTTCACAGATAGCAATGCTGAGAGCTCGTCAGTCGATTTTTTTGGGCGCCTGGAGTAGTAAAAAGGAGGAGGCTGGGAAGTCCTAGGCCCTAAGTCTCTGAGCGCGCTCTTCCACAGAACTGCAGGGTGTAGTTTGCTATGATCTTATGGTTTCATGGGCACAGAAGGGTTCAACCAACAGGCGCCCCATGTTAACATGGACGCGCTGTGAAACAACAACAATATGTAAAGAGAGAAGAACGACGGCTCCCCAAACCGTAGTGCTTCAGAGTGTTTGGTCAATGTTGGTTTCGAGGGTTTCTGCATGCGTGGGTGTATGTGTGGGGGCTCACTGTACATGCGATTATAAAGACAAAATCCCAGAATCAGCAGGAGGGCAGCATGAGGCATGCTGTTCGCTGCCCTACGAAGGCAAAATGCAGTGTTCTTCTCCAACCACGTTTTTGGTGCACACATACGGCATGCGGTGGCATTCATGTGGCGTGCAGAGCTACTGTGAGAGTATTGCTTGGATAGAAAGGTCTGTGCAAAGCAGGCTCTTCACTCTCGGTGAAAGACTCCTGCCTGCTAGCCTCTTGCATTAGATAGCCTCTGATCACAGGCGCCGGGGCTTTTGCAGCTTGAGGCCACTTGAAGCCCGTGGCAAACATGAAGCCGCGCTTGCCATGGACTTTTTCCTTTTGTTCCTTTTGCAACTCTGCCTTTCAATAACCGCAGTTTCGCAATTTTGACTCCTATGTGAAAAGTGGAGATTTCAGGCGGCAAAAGCACAAAGAACAAGCACCAGAGCAATTCAAGCAGGCTGGAGCCAAGTTAAAGTTACGGCGGGGCTTATGCGCGACTGGCTATAGGATTCTGAGGGAGGTGCCCCGGGGCCGGCCAGCCAGCCTAGAAGCCAACATTGCTGTTTTCCGAATCTGCGGTTTAGGGTTTAGGGTTTAGGATTTAGGGTTTAGGGTTTAGCCATGCAAGCATGTGTTGATGTGCAGTGTGCAGGCCTTGGACCTCCCTAGCAACAAGGCTGTGCAGGTGCAGCGGTTAACATTTCCAAGCAATCCCACTCTTTTCAGGCTCAGAACAAGTCAATATAGTGACCAGTGAGTATCAACATCTCATGCACCCCACCCCACCCCCCGCACTCACCGGGACTGACCCAAGAACCACGACTCTCGCAAAGAGGCTTTGAGCCAGAGTCTAGATCCAAGGTTCCCTCAGAAATAGAATTTTGGGACAAGGGCTCAACATTGTAAGTTCAACAGATTGAAAACTGACACTTTGCGCTTCAGATTTCAGATTTTATGTCGCCCCCCCCCCCCCCCCCCCCCCCCCCCACCGGCCATCCTCCACCCACCTCCCACCCCCCCACCTCCACCCACCTCCACCCACCTCCACCCACCTCCACCCACCTCCACCCACCTCCACCCACTTCCACCCACCTCCACCCACCCACCCACCCCCACCCACCTGCCCACCCCTGCCCACCCACTTGCCCACCCACGCCCACAGACAGACAGACAGGCAGACAGACAACCCTAAACCCTAAACCCTAAAGTTCAAGGGAGCCATTATTGAGGTAAATGCACACTCAAGGGTTTGAAGTTTAGGGTTTAGGGTTTAGGGTTTACAGTAGGGTTTAGGGTTTAGGGCTAGCATGTCGGCATTGTGAGGCTGCTGCCCTTGTCTGCAACAGGCTGTTTTGGATCAAGTACTCACGAGAGCCTGGCCGCGGTTTTGCCACCAACAAGCATGGTTGACGAGGCCAGTTGCATTTTGCTGGTGCATCTTGCCGTGCGGTCGCTAGATCTCGTAAATTTAGTCTGGCTGCTAGCGCCATGATGACTGCTTGCTGTGCCCTTTATCCAACTGGGCTATACTAAACAGCGAGCGTTTCTTGCAGGCCGCACACCCCCCGCAGGAGGAGCACTTTGATCCGGAATGTGGCCATGGACATGAGAATGCGGCTGTGCAGCATGATTGCGGGACCAACTCATCACATTGGAGGTTTTCAGTTGCTTGATATCTTAGAGCAAGAAGTGGCCTACCACTTATCATAGGGCTGCATAAGGCATGATATATGCGACCCAAGGACGCGGAATCAGTCTCATCGGTCGATTCTGACGAGGTGCTGGGGATCAAGTTGTACATGCCTGCCGTTCTGTCCATCTTGGGCCTACAAGCCCCGGGTGTGAGCCGCGTGTGCTCAGGAGAGGATGGATGAAACCCTCTGCCTGCGCGCCAAGGAGGAAAGTGTCGGAATAGACATGCTCATCGAGCCTCGGTCCCCTGGGAGGCTACTGTGCTATCTCTAGTTAGTTACTGGCCCTGAGCTCCGTTGGATGCTACCATGGTACTTACTAACCAATGTTATAACTGTACTTATAACCCACTTGCAAGCCCCTTAAGTGCCCTAATATGGCTAAAAGCACACTTGTAAGTACACTTATAATTTATTATAATTGGTGATTAAGTACCATGAACATCCAAGCAAACCTTCCCGATGGTGGATGTGTGTGGCAGAGACCTGTCAGCATTGCAGGATCCTTACGCGCACTACGAGGTCTATGACCCTGACCTCGATGACTACGCCCCTGGTAAGCACCTGGTTCGGATGCTATTTCGGTTGTGGTGGGGTTTTGAAGTGCAAGTTTCAAAAGTCGCATATGTCATTTTGGCAGATGAGTGCCTGGCGTCTTGCTTTCGAGCCTCAGCTTCTCCCCTACCCTAAACCGGCAACGGCCCGAAGCCTGAGCCCTCTTAAACAGCAAGCCCAAGGACCCATGCTCCGCCCCTCTGTTGGCTGCTGCCTTTTCTACGGAGGAGATGATGTCTGCTTGCGAACCGGGGGTGCTTGTTATGCGACGCTGCGCGGTGGCTTACTGTTGTGAACAGAACATGCCACTGGAATAACTTAGTTGACAATCGCTCTCAGAAAGGCCATGCGAGGTGGCGAACAGCGACGTGAACGGGGCTTGTGACTTCAATGTCGCTTGTGTGTGCTAGGGAAGTTCGGAAGCAGCAGAGCTTCCAGCGCGCAGAAGTGACGAGCGACAATTCGAGTTGAACCAAGTTGAACGGGCAGCGCACGAACGCGCGACGCTCTGGCACGGAACTCTCCAAATTCTGATTCAGCACGATCGGAGCGAGGTGAATGTTGAAAACCTGGCTGCGATGCCTCAACAGCAGTGGGCACACAGGCTCGACGAATCAATGTCACGTGCCGGACGCGCATGTTATCGCCTCATTCACATGCTATCATACCGTGGAAGCCTGGCTGAAACTGCCACTTGACGCGGTGCTGTTGCCGAGTGGCTGCGCACGGGTTCCTTTGACATCCTTTGCCAGCGACGGGTGAAGCCAAACCAGCGGCACCAAGACTGCATCGCGGCATCTGTGCGTATCGTTGCTGAAGTCTTAAGGACTGATAGATGCTGTGGGTGCTAGTGTGGGCAAGGACGCGCGCAGGTCAGCAAGCTTTGACCTTCCTGTTGCATTGAACGTAGGCGGCCACGAACGCAACACGGTTTCAGAGCGGGACATAGCAGAACGCCGCCACAACGAACAACAAACATCTGACTTGTCCAAAACATTTGGGTTGATTAGTGCACTTTGGTCAACCTTGTGGAGGTCTTAAATCAAGATCAAGAAGATGCGATTCGCGGCGATCCCGGGTTGAGCCATTGGTTTGCGATGTTTGGGAGCCGCCAACAAGCAAGCCCCTCCCACCTGATCGTCGCCATGAGCAACAACGTCGAACCTTCATGTGACCCGCGTTCTTTTCGTCCGCTCGAGTAGATGATATACTGTGCTGCGCATAAGTTTCCGTGGAAGGGCGCCAAGAGGTGAACAAGATTGCGTGGAAGGGTGCAGAAGGTTTGCTTGGGGTCCCCGCAAATCTCGCATGGAGCGAAGAGGCCAAGGCAATTGAGAGGCTTCGCAATTGCCCCTCAGCCGCGCCCACTAAACCGCAGCCAACTGTTCGGTCCGAAGCCGTGTCCCCCTCCCCTCCGTAGCACAACGGTCGTCAAGACCTTTCGGTTTCGGCCCCTGCGACGGCTTGCAAATGACGGTTGTCCTGCCGCGCCTTGCACGGACTTCTGCTCCCGCCAACCGCTGACTTCACAAACGTACAGCCAGCAAGCCTGACAGGAGCTTCTTATGATAACAGCGGAGGTTACCCCTCACGGAAAGATGGAAATCGACACAAGAAAGTGAGAGTGGCGGCGGCTCAGAGTTTTGGAGTTTTCAGGTCCTATAAGTAATCCCAATCGATGAGCCGTGCTTGCCTTTTTTTGTTTGGCTGTCAGCAACCATGCGTAAAATGCGTCCAGACGACCTTATATTGCTTAAAGACGGCCAGAGTGTAAGCTCTGCAGAAAAGCATCCTTGGCTGGGACGCAATAGTAAACGCAGGACATTGCCGCGGTCCGCGAGTTCCCGAAAGACCGTTCGTTATGTTCGCGCATAGTCATGCCGCGCCAGCACCGTGTTGACGCGACGAGGCAGTGCTGATGTCAACGCCGCTTGCCACTTGCTGCTTGCCGCTTGCCGCTTGCCCTTGGCGCCACGAAAACGTGCACGCGTGTGCGTGCGCGGCGGGTGAGGTGGGCCCGCAGCATAGCGAGGCTGCAGCCCATTCGCCCGGCACCGACGAGACGATCGCACCTGCAGCACACTCGGACCCCGCCATCTATACAAGGTAATGCCGGTCATGGTCGAAGACGTCGATTGCTTCCAGCCGTTTGCATGTGTACGGTGGGCAGTCCATGCATTCAGACGAGCGCGGACGCAACAGCCAGCAAAGCAGGCGTGTTTAAGCCGGATGCCCGAGTGCATCTCCGAATACGGAGGGGTGTCAACACTTGACACATGACGTGCGGAATATTGCAATTCGGCCCCCACCGCAATCCAATTTCCAAACAATCAACTCGTCACATGATGTCACAAGATGTAGCATGTAGCGAAGTTCTCCGCGTATCGTACACCGGCGAGTCTCTTTGATCTGTGGAAACAGCACCCCTGCCGACCAAACACCACCTCAGGCTTCAAATCAAGACGGGTTCGGTCGGTTTTTGCGCACGCACATATTTATGCACCCGAGACCATACTCGGGAAAGGCTCGAAGTTGAGGATGCGTTGCTCCGCCAGCTTCCCCGGGTTGCCCAACCTTCAATTCGCGAGGCTTCTCCGTAGCTTCTGCGCAGCGCCGCGCGCGAACCGCGCGCCGACGGTTCCGCCCGACATCATCGCGGCGTATGCGGAGGCACGCGACGCAGCCATGTAAGGGTACCTTGCTCGCGTTTTGGTGGGCGCCCAGCTCCCCGCCAGCTTGGAAGGCTTGGCTCTCACAGCCACGCGCGTCAGCCCAACTGCGCGTGGGCCATTTCGGCAGACGCCCTCACGGCACTCTGCGGCTTTTGCGCAGTGGGCGGCCCGTGCCGTGACTGATGGGCAAGGGCCTCTCTTTCGCCGCAGCCCGGGGGCTTGCCTCCAGCCTCCTCTCCCTCCCAATAGCAGGCGCAACCATTTTCGATGGCATCATGCCGGAGCTCAGCGAGGTCCTTGCCGATGTGCGCTGGGTGTCCGCCCGCCCCTCGCCATCCCCTCGCCAGCCCCTCGCCAGCCCCTCGCCCTGCCGCTGCCGGCGTGATGCCAGCACGCCGGTGCCGTAACCATTCCCACCAGATTCCCTTCACATAACACGTATACACGTATACACATATACACATATTCACATTTTCACATATTCACATATTCACATATTCGCATATTCACATATTCACATACTCACTTTTTTTAAAAAACTCATATACACATATACACATATACACATACACACATACACAAACATACACATACACACATGCACACATGCACACATGCACACATGCACACATACACACATACACACATACACATATACACACATACACACATACACACATACACACATACACACATACACAAATACACAAATACACAAATGCACAAATGCACAAATACACAAATACACAAATACACAAATACAAAGGGAAATAGAAATGAAGATGCTTCTTCGGCATAGCTGGGGGGCGACTTCGACCCATTTCTTTTGCTGGAAGGTTATCCTCTCCGTACTCGATGCTGAACCTCGGTTCGCTCCTGGATGCTTCTGCATAGCTGGGGGAGCCTTGCTGCTGGAGGGTGTGTTCCCTTTGCTTTCGGTGGAATACCTAGCCTAAACGGCTTCCTCAGCAGGAGATGGAACGTCCCGTGCCATGGCGGTGAAACGCAAGCTGATGGTGCCCGGCATGCCTGCGTCGCCGACCGATGCAAGCCGATGGTGCTTTGGTGCTGTGGTGGTGCTATTACAGCGCAAGCTGATGCGGGAGCTACTACAACGCAAGCGGTGGGTGCTCGGAATGCCTGCGTCGCGAGCTGCTGATGCTTTGGTGCTTCTCATGGCTGTCTGCGTGGAGTTCTGTGGCTGCACAGACGCGAGCTCAGCGGCTGCTAGGACACTTCAACGCAAGCTGGCGCGCTGCTGCTGCTGGCTGGCTGGCTGGCCGGCCGGCCGGCCGGCCGGCCGGCCGGCTGGCTGGCTGGCTGGCTGGCTGGCCGCGAGAGGACATGGTGCGTGCTACTGCAACGCAGGCTGATGTCCGACTCCTTGCTCGCAGCCCGGCCCCCTGCACAGCGGGCTGCATGCACTGCCGCGTTCGCGTCGAGCTGGTCTGCGCTGCTGGCCATCGCAGCCGCGCGTTCCTTTGCGGCCAGCCTTCTTTCCCTTCCACTGTCCGGCACGGCCAACGTGGATGGCGACTCACCGCTGCTCAGTGACGTTCTTGCTGACTCCTCCGAGTAGGCTCCCCTCGCCAGCCGCGTGCTGTAAACTGGTTGTGCTGCAGTGGCATTGGGCGCTTGCCTGGGCGCTTGCCTGGGCGCTTGCATTGGGGCCGCGATGTGACTTGCAGTTTCGCAAAGGTCCGTAGCCATTTTGGCTCAAGCCATTTTGGCTCAAGGATGCCATTTTGGCTCAAGCCACGCGAGGCTAGCTTGAGACGCCTAGCTTTGCCACGGCTGGGCCATGGATGGGTTGCCGTCCTTGTTGTTGGCATGTGGCCGTTGGGTGGCGGACTTGACACGCGCAGCGGCGCCAACGCTCGCTCTGCTCCCGCCAACTTGCAAACAGGCCGTGGCTCACACGACAATGGTCTGCTTCGGTGCCGCCCCCTCCTACTACACGCCTGGGTTTGGACCGTGGCCGTTGGCCTGGGGTTGGTGTGTGATGGGGGCCTTTGTGGGAGCACTCGTGTCCATCGCAGCTCTTCTCCTGGTGGTTGGCCCTGGAGCTCTGCTGGCTGCCCGCCCGCGCGACGCCGACACGGCGGCAGCGGAAGTGCTGCGTGCGTACGCGGCGGGTGGCGAGTCCGAAGTCCAGGCGCTGGCTGCACAGGCGGGGGAGCCGCCGCTGGACATGCTGTGCAAGCTCCTCGCCGCGGCGCTGGGACGCACCCGATCGGCGGGGCAAACAGGCCCTCGCCGTCGACCGCGGCCGGCTGCTTGATCCGGCATAAGCCGGACGGTTTGGGGGCGGGTGGGTTCCGTGAACGACCGCTGGCGGCTGCTGCGCTGCACTTGCGTGCAGTCTGCTTGCCATGCATGTGCCTTGAACACTTAGTTGAAGGTTGTCAATGCTTGTGCCTTGCATGCTTGGTCGTTGGTCGTCGTTGTCGCTGTTGTTTTGGCTGCCGCAGCTTTTCGGTCCCTCAAGCTCGACAGCGACTTAGTGCCTCGCCATGTCCACGACTTGTGCTGCTTGCAGAGTGCGGCCGGCGGGAGCAGACGGCTCAGCCTGTCAAGCCTGTCGCACCATCCACGCACTGCAGCGACTGGTGCACAGCAACAGCCTGCCGGAGTGGTCCGACCAATTCACCACACAGGTGCTGCGCACAGCATTCCTTACCTTGGATCTCTGCGCGAACGGCCCTCCGCAACAAGCACCAGACCAAGTCGTCGCTGGGGCGAGCCCAGTCACACCGCCAGAGACGCACCAGCGCGACAGGCGCAGCCGCAGCCGCAGCCGCAGCCGCAGCCACCATGCCGATTTCGTGATCGCCCGCGCCTCCCCACTCCGCCGCCGGTGCCATCGCGAGAGCCGCCGCCGGTGCACGCCGCAGCGGCAGTTATCGGGCGGGGCCGACAACGTCACCGCGCAGGCTCCCAGCACCAGAAGCAAGGCGGACGAGCCCACTGAGCGCAGCACAGGGATGCATCAGCAGTTTTTGCTGCCCGCTGGCATGCCGCCACGACGCAGGCGTGCCGCAGGCAACTCATGCATTTTCACCCCTGATGCCGGGGATGTGCGGAAAAAGTGGTCTGGCGGTCGTGCTTTTCTAATACTGAGTTGCGTGTCAGTCCGGTTGCAGTTGCAGTGCCGAGATGCTCCGCATTATCCGCCCAACCCCGCTGGAGCCCCACTGGGGCCCGTAAGTGGGATCCGCACGTTGGACGCCGCGTCGGCGAGGCTGCGAACCCTCCGCACAGGCGGACAGAGATCGGGCGCTCGAGGCGCTGGCACGCCTGGGCATTGGGCAGGGGGAAGCTTGTCAGCCCGGGATTGGCCAATCGCAGGAGTGCTTTTACGATTGTTCAGATGTAGACACCGTCGTTTGTATGACGCCTCCGTCCCATGCACGCGCCAATTCACCCATGCGGGCTTGCATTCCGACTCGGGTTGACTCGGCGGGGAGTCGCGCGTCCCCGCCGTCGCACCCGGACTGGCGCCGTCCTCAATTATCCAGCGCGGCGCCGACCCGTAATTCCTGGTTCTATGTTCCACTGTTGCTACATGCGGCCGGGCAGTTGGAGGAAGGCATCGCGACCATTTGGCGGTCACACACCGCCCACGGCGCACGTTGGCAGGCGTTGGCGGCGTCGTTGGCGGCCGCCACGCCCATCAGCACAGGCGAACTCGTCGCCTTCATCCATTAACGGAAGAACAAGACGCCGGTGAGGCGGTCGCCGCCCTGTGTTGTGCGCTGGCCCAGCGTTGCGGTGAGACATCCACTTTGCAACAAGCAGTCGTAGCAACGGCGGATGACACGGGTTACCTTCATGCCATCGCCCAGTCGGCCTTCCTGCAGGCCTTCGGGGGGCAGGCGGCGGCGGTTGAGGCCGCTGCCTCGGCACGCAGTTTTGCAATTGCACCCGCAGCCGCACCTTGCCCGGCGCCGACAGCGACAGATGTCGATGATAGTGCACTCGCGGGCGCGGCCGAGCGCGCCAGCGGTCGTTCTCGAGCGCGCGGTGGTCGCGGCCGCGGATGCGCGCGCTCGCGCCGGACACAACCAACATGCGCTCCCAGGCCTTCCAGCGTCCCTGCTGCCTCGGCCCTCGTTGATCTTGGACGGCTTGACTTGCGGCATGAGCTTAGCAAGCGGGTGTACACGCTCCAAAACCCCCCCGCCCAAGCCCGTGGAGCCTTGCGGCAAACGCTGTGCAGCGCGCTGGAGACGCTTACTCACGCGAGCGACGGGCAGGTACAAGCGGCGGGCTGGAAGCTTCTCCTTTTGGCGCCACGCGTGCTACTCTACCGCAGTCGTGGCCAGCACCGCATCGCGCCGGAAAAGATATCCAGGCGGGTGCAGCTGCTTGCGGACCGCCGCTGGGGCGAATTGCTGGAGGAGGCTTCAGCAGCAGCCCACGCCGACCCGGTTCAACCGCGGAAGGCACTTGACTCACGCCCATCCGCGGACGAAGGAGTGCGTCGAGGCGCAGTTGGGCGAGCTTTCTGCTGCCAGCTCGGCGCTCACAGCCGCTCCCCTCGCTCCGCTCACCACCGACACGCTGGACGCGCTCCGGGACCCACTCAAACGACCCCAAGAACGGCAGGTCCCACTCCCAAATTGGCTGGCCGACTACGTTCCTGAGGAAGGCCCTTCAACGTTGGACGCTGCACGGTTCTGCACTTTATAATGTGCGGTCGGCGAGGCGGGGGGCCGCCACTGGTCCATCCGGTTGCACGATGGAACACCTGCGCGTCCTGCTTGATGATGAAGAGTGTGTCGAGCTGCTTGTTGGCGCCGCCGGGAAACTCGTGGCGGGCTCCTTGCCGGGTGAGGTGGTTGAAGGACTCCGCATCGGGCGGATGGTCGCCCTAACTAAACCAAATGGTGGGATCCGGGCCCTTGTCATGGGCGATGTGTTCCGCCGGCTCGTGTCCCGGACCCTCGCCCAGCAGTTTGCCGGCGCGTTCGAGTCGGCGTGCGCTCCCTTTCAGTATGCGCTTTCCACCCGAGCTGGGGCGGAGGCACTGTCCCGTGCTCTGCGCCTGGCCACTGAGCTCCAGCCACGGGCTACGGTCCTGAGTGTCGACGGCGTTGGCACCTACGACCACATATCGCGTGCATCCATGTTCGAAGGGTTGCGGGGTGATGACACCTTACGAGCGATTACGAGCGCTTATCCCCTTCGTCCGCATGTTTTATGGGGTCGAAAGCACATGTTTGTTTTATGATGCGGAGGGCCGAGGACATGCGGTATTCCAAGCCGAAGGAGGCGAACAAGGAGATCCACTGATGCCGGGGTTGTATTCTATCGGGGTGCACCCAGCGTTGCAGGAAGTCCACTCCAGGATGCAACCGGGGGAGGAACTTTACGCGTTCCTCGATGACACGTACGTGGTGTCTCTGCCCGACCGCGCAGCACCGGCCTTGGACTTGCTTGGGCCTTCGCTCAAGGAGCGAGCAAACGTTGACCTTCACTTGGGGAAGACGCGTGCTTGGAACGCGGCAGGCGAAGAGCCCCCGGGCCTCAATGCCCGGGTGCCCGTCCGATCCGCCGGTTTGGGTTGGGGACTGGGCACTACCCGCCGAGAGCCAGGGTCTGGTCGTCCTGGGCACGCCAATGGGCAGTGATGCTTTCATCCAGGCAACCCTCCGCACAACTGGACGACCATGCGGCTCTGTTGGCCAGCATCCCCACCGTTCCTGACCTGCAGGTCGCCTGGCTGCTTCTGCTTCTTTGCGCCGCGCCACGCAGCAACTACCTCTTGCGGGTTTTGCCGCCAGGCGTTACAGGCGAATTCGCACGGCGTCACGATGCAGCAGTCCTCGGATGCTTGGGACGCTTACTCGGCAATGACGAGCCGTTGACTTTTGATCCGCTTGCGATCCGCCGGGCACATCTCCCCCTCAGGCTTGGCGGACTCGGCCTCCGTTCTGCAAAGACCGGCCGTTTGGCAGCGTACTGGGCGTCTTGGGCAGACACACTCCCCGTCCTACGCGCCAGGCACCCCCGCTCAATAGCGGAAACGTTGCAACAGGCCATCGTCGTCGCGCAAGGAGGCCCAGCACCCGCCCCTTAGTGTTGCAGCCTTGGTCCACGCTGCGGAGTCATTGCGGGCGCAGGGATTCCAAGTGCCACCGTGGGAGTCCCTGCTGGGCGGCCAACGACCGCCAGCTGCGCCCGAACCGCGCACACATGGCGACACACTGCGGGGATGGCAACGCGCCGCCGTGGCCTGCCAGGACAGGACAGCATGCGAGAGCCTTTTACCTGACCTCGATCCGGCCTCGCGTGCTTTGCTCCTGTCTCAGGCGGGCCCTGGTGGGCCGCGGGCTGTCACTGCGCTCCCCACGGCACCGGAGTTCCGCATGCCGAGTGAGTGCATGGAAAGACGCAAGGTCCGATAATTGGGTCCGGCAAGCAGCGGCAGCGGGCTGGGCGAGAAGGTGCTGTCGGTCGCCATGCAAGCGGCCGTTGGCACCACTGCCCTTGGCCAGGCGCCCCACATTTCGGCAAGCTCGGACTTCACGCCGCCGCCGCTGGACCATGTCCTGGAGCCGGGCGTGAGCGCGGCGGTCAGCCGCCTGCCCATGCGACCATGAGGACACGTGTATGCGCCGCAGAAAAGGAGCGTGGAAAAAAACAACATTTTGTCAGCGTGCATATTTATATCCCCTACCCCTTAATAAATGTAAAATGGGGGGGGGGGGGCGCATAAATGCAAAACAATACTTTTTACATTTTCAGGTTTGTGCTGCAGGGTAGGGTAACTAGGGGAGGAAGGTAAGCAATCCCACGCATATCTCATATCCCAAGCAATCCCACGCATAGGATTTTACATTTATTGTTTCTCCTCGTCTCCCGAGCCCGAAAATGTAATTTAGATTTTCGGCCCCCCCCCCCATGCTAAGGGGAGGGGGATATATTTATATGGTCACGTGCCAGTAATTGCTTGTACAGTAACAGGGCCGGGGCCCACACACGCGACATACGCGGTATGTATGCATTCCGAAAGGTATTTGTCACGCGTTCGCCGCATGCAACCGCCGATCTCAAAACCCCGAAAAAGCTTGGCAGTCGAAAGCGAGACAATGCAGAACATGTGGCACACAGATGGGCTACTTGTAACACTCAGCAAGTGCGTTTGACATGCAGCTAGAGTGCCAGAGTTCAGATGTTTTGGGAGTTTGTTCGCGCTTGTGCGCGCTTGTGCAACTTTGCACCTTCCCCTGCGAGGAAATGCGGAGGAAGCAGATCGCCGCCTTACGCCGTCGAATTGTTAGGGGTGGCGCCGACGTCATAACGGACCGACTTGGGGGAAGTTGCATGAGTTGCATGTTGGATACCCGGGACACGCCGATGCAAATAAGATGTTGCAGGACCATTACGAAGTTGTCATCACGGAAATGGAAAATGAGATGGTTGACTTGGATGAGTGTCCTCCAGGCCGGGAGGTTAATGCAGCATCGCGTGCATCAGCTTCGGGTGATTTCAGGTTTGACACTGCCAACGATGCCGAACCCCCCGCGTTGCCGAATTCCTTCTGAAGCCAGCCTTTCGACGGCTTCTGGCAGCTCAACGGACTCATGGGCATCCATGTTCACTTGTGAGTATTGTGCGTAGATGCTGTGTGTGTGTTTTTTTTGCTGTGTTTCTTCCGCAACATCTTTAAGCATCGTGTGCTGCTTGAATCGGAGGTTTATGGCGACATGCAAAGAAGAATCGCTGGTGTGTTGCATGTGCGTGAGCCGCAACAAACCCGCAGGACGCCACAGAGTGGGACTGTGCGACTCCAATGGCTTCGAAGTGCCAGGACCAGTTGCTAGCACAGCATGACAATGTAATGGAATATGAAATATAGCGTAATAATATAGTATAGTAAAATTTGGCTTAATTTTTTTAATTTAATAGTCGCGAGATGCCAACAAGAATTTGCCAGACCCGTGTTTGTTCCATGCAGTGCTTATGTGATGGCAGATTGGCCCCGGCACGCCAGTGACCCACCCCTCCGTACCAGCGCGCATCTGAGCATCTCTGCTGTGGACGGTCTTGTTTGCACGTAGTTGCGGTTTTTTCAGCACAGGCACATCCTGCATGCGATCTGCGGTTCCAGTCGTGGGCTCAGGGTGCTCTCTAAAAACAATCCCTGTGTTGGATACATCGTTGAATACATTTGTCAGGACTTCGTTTGTCTGACTAAAGTCAGCCAAACCCTATCTCAGCAGTTTCCGGGAGCTTGGCAAACGCTATAGCTGCCTGCCTCGGGATCTGCTGGCTGTCAGAGGACCCTCCCGAAAAAAAAAAAAAAAACATGCCCAGAACTGCATTCCTCGCCGAATGTGTCCGGGAGATCAACCAAGCTATCTTTGAGTACTGGTACTCTCTGTTCGGCGACACCAACTCTATGTGCAAGGCTTCACCCCCGCGTTGGCTGCCATTCGCAAGTCGTATTTGTAAATTTGTAACCAAAATTTAAGACTCTAGCACACAGCTTCCACCGTAAAACTGACTTGACAGGTCCTTCAGAGAGTTTTTTTTGGCTTCTAAGGGTGCAAGGTCCCAAGGCCTGAGGAACCCAATTCCTAGTGCATACAATCTATGTTGTCCGTAAGAATCTTCCAAAAGTCGTAACACGAATGTTTGGTTCCTAAGGTTTAAGGTGGTTTAGGGTGGTTTAGGGTGGTTTAGGGTTTAGGGTTAGGGTTTAGGGTTTAGGGTTTAGGGTTTAGGGTTTAGGGTTTAGGGTTTCGGGTTTAGGGTTTAGGGTTTAGGGTTTAGGGTTTAGGGTTTAGGGTTTAGGGTTTAGGGTTTAGGGTTTAGGGTTTAGGGTTTAGGGTTTAGGGTTTAGGGTTCAGCATCTCAAGTCCAAGCATTCACTAGTCAAGAAATTATTACTCCAGTAAAATACCCACCCGCCCGAAGAATCCCACAACATTAAGAAAATATTTCACTTCTGGAACGACCTTGCCCAGTAAAAAAATGACCTTGCCCAGTAAAAAAATGACCTTGCCCAGTAAAAAAATGACCGTGCCCAGTAAAAAATGACCTTGCCCAGTAAAAAAATGACCTTGCCCTGTAAAAAAATGACCTTGCCCAGTAAAAAAATGACCTTGCCCAGCAAAAAAATTACCTTGCCCAATAAAAAAATGACCTTGCCCAGTAATGACCTTGCCCAGTAAAAAAAATGACCTTGCCCAGTAAAAAAATGACCTTGCCCAGAAAAAGACCTTGCCCAGTAAAAAGATGACCTTGCCCAGTAACATTTTTACTGGGCAAGGTCATTTTTTTACTGGGCAAGGTGTTCTTTTTTACTGGGCAAGGTCGTTTTTTTGGACGAAACGACCTTGCCCAGTAAAAAAATGACCTTGCCCAGTAAAAAAATGACCTTGCCCAGTAACTCCTTAACATTTAAATTATATATGAAAGAGAGGTTTAGGGTTTAGGGTTCAGGGTTCAGGGTTTAGGGTTTAGGGTTTAGGGTTTAGGGTTTAGGGTCTAGGGTCTAGGGTCTAGGGTTTAGGGTTTAGGGTTTAGGGTTTAGGGTTTAGGGTTTAGGGTTTAACAGTTATTTTCACTTGGGTGCAATGGATCCAGTTGGAGTTTGTGGGTTTGCTTCTGGATTTCCAGATGCATGAAGATCTCCTCCAGAGTCAGGGGTGACGTTTTGCTTGAACTCCATTATGGCATTTATTCCATGGCAGTCGTCGCTATGTTTGTTCTTTCAACAGTGTGCCCCCGAGAATAGCTCGTAAAGTGATTTCCTTAGTTCAACATTCAGATTGAGCATGTTGCCACGAGAGCGACGAGCTCGACCAGGCGCACTGGGACAAGCCTGTGCACGGGCGCTTGCCGGAGACGCTGGCTTAAAGGTTCATGGGTAGAAGGTACCCAGTTGTAATTCTAGCTACCTTGCGAATAACCCCCACGTATAGATACCCATGAATCTCCAAGTAGCCCTAAACCCGAAAGCCGAAAGCCTACACCCTACACCCTACACCCTACACCCTCAACCCTCAACCCTCAATTCTCAACCCTCAACCCTCAACCCTCAACCCTCAACCCTTCCTTGTGACCGCCACTTACCCAATAGTAAGCCCAGGTGGCTACCCATCGCCTTCATGGCGTCCCCGCTTGCACAAGCAGAACTTTTTTCAAGGAGCGAAGAAGACCGGGGCCAATGAAGAATATGCCCCCCTAAGAGCCGCAGGGTTTAGGGTTTAGGGTTAAGATTGTTTGGGCTTTAGGGTTTAGGGTTTAGGGTTTAGGGTTTAGGGTGTAGGGTTTAGGGTTTAGGGCCTTTAGGGCCTTTAGGGCCTTTAGGGCCTTTAGGGCCTTTAGGGCCTTTAGGGCCTTTAGGGCCTTTAGGGCCTTTAGGGCCTTTAGGGTTTAGGAATTTTAGGGCCTTTAGGGTTTCGGGTTTGGGGTTTAGGGTCGCCTCAAATTGACTCCCATGGTTCTCAGTAGAAGCGTGCCCCTTTGGAGCAAAACCAGTTCTTCACACCGGCGGGCTTGACCCAAAGAGCCCAATACCTCTTAAGTAAGGAATATAACCTTCAATCATATTAAGGATCCTTAATATGATTTAAGGTATCTTCCTTATTTAAGGTATCTTCCTGATTTAAGGTATCTCACTTGTTTAAGGTATCCTCCTTCTTTAAGGGGTATTGGGCTCTCTGGGGAGTGGTTCAGGACGATGCCACGCTTGCAGCACTTCGCAGGATTGTCGACTCACCCTCCAGGCAAGGCAAGCGCCACGGGTTTAGGGTTTAGGGGTTTTAGAGTTTTAGGGTTTTAGGGTTTTAGGGTTTAAGGGTTTAAGGTTTAGGGTTTAGGGCTAGGGTTTAGGGCTACTTGAAGGCTCACGGGTAGTTATAAGTAGTGTTCGAAGTAGCCCTAGATAAGGTTGCATCCATCTATGCGTAGAGTTACCTTACTTATCACCCCATTTATAGCTACCCATGATCCAAGTGGTTGCCGCGGGCACACCCGCTCCCCTAAACCCCCCCTACCCCCTAATATTAACAACCCCATTTTGCTACAATATAGCTAGACTGGAGGGTATTTTATATTAGGGGGTCGGGGGGGGGGGGTTGAATATTAGGGGGAGGGGATTGCAGAGGCACCGAAGGTGTGAGAGCTGAAGGAGCGAGGGCGAAGCACGTGGGGACAGTCGACCAGGACGTGTTCTTCTGCTTTTTCGTTGCGACGGGCCTTAGGGTTTAGGGTTTGGGGTTTAGGGTTTAGGGTTCAGGGTTCAGGGTTCAGGGTTTAGGGTTTAGGGTTAGGGTTGCAAAACATGTAGCCTGGCAGGCCCGACATGCCGATCATCATGCACGCACGTGCAGGCCGTTACCTTTGCAAAGAGAGTTGTGATCCAGCCTAGGCCACAGCACAGAGATAGCTCGGTAGGTCTTTGGGACATGTTTGCATGTTTCCCCTTTTTGGGGGGGGGGGGATTTTAGAGGATCACGTTCAGGAATCTTTTTCAGAGGGTTTTAAGGGCCATCCTAGATAACTGCACATGACTTTTTTTGTATACTCTCCTCACCCCAGCAGAGACTCAAATAAACTCAGCAGAGACTGAGCCCCGAGGCTGAAACGTGTGTCAGACACATCCCCGCCCCAATGCCGTCGGTCAAGCTCAGGTAGTTTTTGGGTTTAGGGTTGAGGGTTTAGCGTTTAGTTCTCCCTGGTCGTATGTCGACCGCAACCTCAGCTATACGGACTCTTGCAACCAAAGCTCTTGATTCCCCAGCCTTTCCTCAGTCTTCACAGCCTTCACGGCAACATGTAGACGGCGCCAGCATTTGTGGCATGGTTTGCCGATGGCTATCTATCAGTAGGGTTATAAGTAATTACCCCCCCCCCCCCCCAAATAAGTTTATGACCAGGTATAAGCATAATTGCCCTACTCACAACCCCTCTTATACCTACCAAGCATCCCCTCCAGGCGTCTTGGTACGCACTTCCTCCGCACCCCGTGCCAAGCTTGGCTGTGGCGGCAGGTAATTGCTAACTCACGCATCAGACGCGTCAGAGGTAAGAAAGTTTAAGTTTCGTGCTTTGGTTAAGCTGTGTTTTTGTTTTCCGTTTTTGAGACCTGGAGGCGTGAGGATTGTGCAGCTTAAGTGCCTTGAAGTTGTTGACTCTGTGGGCTTTAGCAGCATCAAGATCGCAACAGCACTTCAGTTACATGGCACGGAAGTGAGCGTTAAAGCCTAAACCCTAGACCCTAGACCCCAAACCCTGAACCCTAAACTCTAAACCCTAAACCCTAAACCCCAATGAGGCAGCCCCCAGCAAAGGATCGAGCGAACGATTGCACACCCGGACCATCCCGAAGCCTTAAACCCGGAGGGCAATCCCCTAAACCCTAGACCCTAGACCCTAAACCCTAAACCCTAAACCCTAAACCCTAAGCCGGAGTTCAGAGGCGCGAACATGCCTAAGCATCTGTCTTCGAGCCTTGTATGTTGGGATGTTCCCCCTTGTACTAACAGTCCCTAACAGGTTTTAGGGTTTAGGGTTTAGGGTTAGTAGGGAATTAGAATAGGGGTTTCTAGAATCCCTACGAAGGACTGGTAGTAGAGTGGGGGACATCCCAATCTTTGCATGTTTCTAGG